ATATATATATATATATATATATATTTGCAAAGTGTGTAAAATATGAACAAAATAAGAACATATATATATTTGTATATATATAGTTATATATATACAATATATATACAATATATATGTACATATATATATATAATAGTCTACTATTAATGTAAATATAGGAATATATAACAATTATATTAATTGCGTCTATACTGATGTAATATCAAAATTATCTATAGCTTAGGTTTGACGTCGTAAACGTTCGTAGCCACTTATCCCAATGGAATGTCCCATAAGCTTCGAGGATTACCTCTCTCAACACCTAATCCATACTATAACAATCTCTACTGTAATTGTTTCGTTTACTATCATATGTGTTTGATAAAAGTCACGAACATTATGCTATATCACTATATTATATATTGGACACAATAAAAATTATGTTTACGTTGAAGTTACTTAATTAAAAACTGTAGCGCCTACTGTATGGTGGTGTTATTAGGCCTTTAGTAGGCCTATGTGCTGAAATCTGAAATGTGGATGTAAAAGTAAGGTGTTTGTTGTTATGGGAAGTAACGTACATCTGTAATCTATAGAAAGTAGAATGCTGTCATTAGCCTTCGGAATTTCATTTCAGATTGGCCTATCAGAATGAAGGTATCGAAACTTTTGGCAATCATTCCAATCTCTCTCGTCCGTAACAAGAAGTTATTTTATAGATATGCCTCTTACGTTGTTAAGACTCTCGTGGTCTGAAATTAGAGAATGTCAATTTTGAATATCGTCAACTTTTGTTTCTTTTTTGTCAGAGAAACCGCTTTTATTACTTGTGATGTCATTCCCTACGCACTAGTATAACCTAACCAATTCCGAACATATCCTCATTTTCATCATAGTTTAACGAACTTTTTTTCTGGGTCATAGTTGTGTTCCCTGTATCCTTTGATACCTATATGTTATTTCTTTTATTTTCTGGCTTTGACAGTACCCAAAGTTGTTTTTTTTATTTTTCCTGCATGCAATGTCATTTTGCATCAGTAACCCAAAAAGCCAGCAGAGCATAGCATCGTTTGTTTAGTTTCAACAAAATATTTTCATCTTTGTTCTGTATTGGTCTTCTTTTTGACTCAGCACATATTAAAAAAGAAAATCCAGAACTAAGATTTAAAAAAAAAATCATATGATAATAATACAGTATGATCAAATATAATTACTGTAAAGGTCGTATTGTTTAGATGAATAATAATGATAATTAATATTATTATTAATGTTAGATAGTGTTTAAATCCACTGGAACTTACTATTAACGTTGAGTGACCAATGCAGCAGGTGAGTTGTCTTTAAATTTCAGTGGAGCTGGACGAAACGCCACCCTACATTATTAGTAAGTTTCAATTTAAACTATCTAACATTATAAAATACTTACTAGATGAATGAAAACTTTTCCCAAATTGAATAATACAATTATTATTATTATTATTATTATTATTATTATTATTATTATTATTATTATTATTATTGCTGTTATTATTATTATTATTATTATTATTATTATTATTATTATCATCATCATTATCATCATAATTATCACATTATTATTATTATTAATATTATTATTATTATTATTATTATTATTATTATAGTGGCTAGCATATTGCATTCAGGTGTGATTCGACAAGTACCGTTGCATAAGGATCACTTCCTTAATAGGAAATCTAGGCGATGCTGTACTTATATAGTGAGTCAGAGCTAACGCGTGGTTTGATACCAATCATAAATAGCCACTGACTTCATAATCACCTCATGCATATTTTATTTTTCCTATTGTCTTCCTCCTGGGTAAGCAACCATATTCGTTTCACTTTCATTTCCACACCTCTACGCAGCAAAAGCCTGATTTTTATTCATTTATTTTTAGCAACTTCCATTAGATGACTTGATAAAAATGATGATGCGGGTATCCGGTTTTTTTTTCTGAGTAAGGTCCATATCTAGATGATACAGGTAGATTTTGACTTGATCTTGTGTGGTGGTGGTGGTGTTGGTGGTGGTGGTGGTGGTGGTAATTAGCGGTATCCAGGGCCGCGACGAGGACGTTTCTACAATTTCACTGATTGGCTAAGATATGTTTATCTATAGACGTGCCCACTGCTTCTTGTACGCCTGATTCAGCTACCTTAAATGTATCTGTCAACTTATTTCTACAGATGGGATAGTGTTAATTCAGACGATATCTCATCAATTAGTTCTGCTATAATTCACAACAAAGGGTATAGCTCATTGTTTTTGTCGAAGTTGGATGATTTTTTATCATGTCTTTGTCCGGTTGTACTTGCGTTCTGTGGCACCCACAGATTATACGAATGTGCCCAATTTTTGAAAAAAAATGCATAGACCATACGGTTTTTCGAAATTGTTTCTTCCCGGTTGTTATGTGTTCTGTGGGACCCACGCATCATCTTCGCCAGCCACACCTTCTCGACGCTCGTGGTACGAGCTTTTCTTTTGTGAGAGCCTGTGCGCCCCAAACCCCAGTACGTATCTGGTAGATTATTTAAACTGTTCTACCGGTCATTAATTACCTACAGTACATTTACTTACCCATAGCTTACACACAATGGTGATAATGCTATTATGACAGTAATTTCATTACTTTGTTACCCGTCATTTGTTTGGTTGTTTATTGTGATATGTTACATTACCATGACATTAATTTAATTTACTCGATTCAATGAACACTTTATTTTGCAAGTTATCTTTCAGAAATTGAGTAGGCCCACATGGTAATATTGAAATACATGAGTGAGATTCTTTTGGAAGGTTAAAAAAAAAAGAAAGAAAGTAAAAAAAAAAAAAATTTGATCGCCCAAAACGCCTCAGAAGTTATTTTCGGGCGTCTAGAACACAAAAATTTTGCGGGGGCATGTCTCGCAACCCCTAGGGTATTATTATCTCGATCGGCCCCACTTTTGGACATCTCTGGATCCGCCCATGAGATCCCCGGTAAGAAAAGTGAAAGTTGGTAGAATTAATTTCATAAGGGGCAACATTGCGCCAATCAACATACGCAAGGGAAGTATATGCGAATTGTGATGGCAAGTTTCGTGTCACCTTGAGATATTCTAACTCAAATCGTAAATTAATAAGACGTTGTAAACAATATCCATCCCTAGCGCCCACCACACCCCCCCACCCAACCCACACTAACCCCTTTAGTACCTGATATAGTTTTTACAGTCCATTAGTATTGTTACCGTTTACTACCACATCTCCATTTTCGACTGCATTTCCTCCATCCCGAAGAACAGTATTTTCGTCACCATTTATTACTTCACCATTTTCTGTGGTGACGTCATTATTAACTTCTTCAGCACTCTGTCTACGCAATTTCCGGTTCATCTTAATACAGAGATTGTGCATATCCATCAGAGAGTTGTAGAGACTCTCTCGAAAAATCGTCGAGTCAGTCTCGGGACAGTCTTTAAAAGACGAAATTGCAAAAAGTATATAATCTTCGTGGGGATTATAGGAGGCGCCATAACCGTTAGGCACCACTGGCCCGTAGCACATGAAAGTATCCAACTTGGTTAGAACCTGAAGCAAAATAAGAGAAAGTTAAGTTTAAAAATTTGATAAAAATGTATACCATCTGTGACGGAAAAAAAGTATACTATATATATTATATAGGCCTATAGGGCAATATATAAATTATATAGATGACATGCTCAATAGTAGATTTTAAAAGCAATCAGGTTCTTGGAAATTTCTGCCACGATTGCATTACAGAACCATTTCGATTTAGTTCTAAAAACCCGGTAATATGATTTTCGTGTACACTTTTTTTTATAAGAACCAGTAAAAATTTACCCAGGCTCAGTGTTCTTATTTCTATTGGAAATTTCACGCTCAATGTTCTTATTTTGTTCTTAGTTTACAGACTTTTACAAACGTAGAAAATTAGTATTGTACAGCAGTGTGTTAGGACTTACTGTATATGGTTACACTTACTGCGAATAAGGTACGGATAAGATGTTGGTTTTTATATATTATTTTTTTTATTAAAAAGTTATTTGACATTTTACATCAGCCTCAATTTGTTCTTATATTGTTCTTAATTTTTTGACAATTTCAGCCCTCATTGTTCTTATAAAATGTGTTCTTATAAAAAGAAAAAGTTCCTTTCTTGACCCTAAACATCTAGTAAGAAACCAGAGCTTTTGGACAACATTTGGTCAGTTGTATAAAATATTATATTATTGTCGTTAGCTTTGTCCGTTTTGTTACCAATAATATATTCAACTATAAATTGCGGGAGTAATGTCATGCTTTCCTTAACAATCAACCCCATTGAAGAACACCGGTTAAAATGTTATTTACCTGACTTGTTGACAACGTAAAATAGCTGCTAATTTCGTAAGCTACATCCTGGAATATTTCGGGGACGGGTTCCCCTAACTCCCTTGAGAGCTCACGAAGTCCCAGTAGATGACAGTCGAAGCCTTGTCCCATTATTGTTCTTATACAGAAATCCGTCTGAGCCTTGATAGCTTTGCGCATCAATTTCATCTTCTCCTCCAACTGTAATTAGAGAAAAACAACAATGTGGACATGTGGTGAATAATAATAATAATAATAATAATAATAATAATAATGTTAGGTTTTCATTGTTATATATAAAAAAAAGTAACTATGGTCCTAACGAGGGAGCACTCCAGGTACGCAGCCAGGTTCTTTCAAAGTAGGATGGGGGGGGGGGGTTCTCTGGGCGTGGGGTCCAGGGTCAAAGCCCTGGTGGAGTCGGCGAAACCACCAAAGGCAGAGGATTTTTTTGTTTTATGGGTCTAAATAAAACAAATAAATAAATAAAGCAGATATGTTCGAAAGAGGTCTGCAGAAAAACATTCCGTCTGAGCCTGAGTGGGTCTGCAGTGCATTCATTGCATTGAAGGACTCGTTTGGGAAAACAAAAGAGAGTGTTTGCTAGAAAAGGGGTTCGCCCGAATCATAAAAAAAAAGAATCCCTTGCTACGGGCCTGCAATCATATCGTAATATGACTGGTTCCTGACCTAACGCAATATCAGCAATGTACAATACTGTAGTAACAACAACAATAAACAATAATAACAATAATAATAATAATAATAATAATAATAATAATAATAATAATAATAATAGTAATAATAAAAATGGGTTTTTTTACAACGGTACACATCAATTTATGATTTTCATAACTTTTGAAAAGTACATAAGATACAATTTAGAGTAAGAGTTAACAGTGTACGCATATTAGATAGCGGACAAAATTCATTATTTTATTGTGAACACTTACAGGGCGATGGAGGGGTCCACAGAAAGGTGTATGTATTTTTACGCTAAAGAAAATGATATTGATAAGTGACCCCTACTAGTTATCATAATTGCTGTCGTTTTATATATTTTTACCGTAGCTAGCCGATCACCCTTGATGGCTCTGGCGAACTCTAAAGCTTCTTGGGAAGCAGCTCTAATGTTGTCCACTCGGCCTTCATGGAATCGCCTTGTAGACGCACTCTCATACGTTGATATTAGATGACCGTACATGCTGTACAAAAATATTTCAAAATATTTACGTTTAAACCACCATGGATTACCAAATAAAGATATTAAACCACTTATACCATATATAAAGTCTCAACCCCTAATTTAGAGTTCTTAATGAAAGTCGAATTAACTGAATTATCAATAATTATATGCTTTCATTTATTACACCACATACGTCTCGATGAGGTTTATTTAACCAAACTTTTTTGCCATTATTCGATAAATATTGGTGCTCCCTCTATAACTTATAAAACATTAGATACAATGCGCCACTTTAAAAAGTATAGTATTATAAGCAATAACATTTATATATGATCTTCATATTGGCTTAATTATTTATACCTAACAATGTTTCATGACTGTCGTCTATCAAAATGAAGCTGATGATTTGGGCCAATCAATACATACAGTGCAAGACGGACAAAAATGTACTACAACAACATCCAAATATGTTTAAAACGACTTAAACAAAAAATAAGTAATGAATTGTATTAAAACCTTACATAGGTTTAGGTTAAATAAAATACTATAAAGAAACTATGTAAACAAAACACAATATATTATTAAAGTGCTCCACATTATAAATAAAATGTAATTTTAAGGATTATACGCTATTAAAATATAAATCAAAGCAATATTCATCAACTTTTCTAGGTATGCTTTAGCACGCAAGTGCACTTGCATATATATTTAGGTAGATAAGAAAGGGGAACAGATTTACCTGTAATATGTAACTTGCAATGCAAGTTGCACGAATGCATCTGGGCTCATATTTTGTGACTTGGGGAATCCTTTACCAAACTCGGTAAACCGTAGCAACTTTAGGTCTACATTGTGTACCAATCTGATATAAAAAAAAAAACATTCTTATATTATGTTAAATTATTCTGTTGCTAGCATCTATAACTGGAAGTTGTTATTATTATTATTATTATTATTATTATTATTATTATTATCAATAATAAAATAAAGTAGTAGTGCAGTGGTGGTGGTGGTGGTGGTAGTGGTGGTGGTGGTGGTGGTGGTGGTGGTGGTGGTGGTGGTGGTGGTGGTGGTGGTGGTGGTGGTGGTGGTGGTGGTAGTAGTAGTAGCAGTAGTAGTGGTAGTAGAGGTAGTGGTAATGGTAGAGGTAGCGGTAGCGGTAGCAGTAGTAGCAGTAGCAGCGGCAGCGGCAGCAGTAGCAGCAGTAACAGCAGCAGCAGAAGCAGCAATAGCAGTGGTAATCGTAGAAGTATCAGTAGCAGCAGCAGTATTTCTAAATACCAAATTGGAATGTTACCTGTCGGTTTTGATTCTAGCGTTGTCTATATCAATGAGGGTATCTGAAGATAGTTTCCAACGTAGTTTTCTTGGATATGGTAACTCACATATTGACTGCGCTCGAATTAGCCTTCGTCGATGGGTGTCAGAATCTCTAAGGGATACAACAAATATAGCTCTTTCTACACTATCACATTTCTTTGTCAAAAAACTGTTGTATGCCCATATATAGTCATGGTGTGCCTATATATGGTCATGATGTGATGTCATCATGACCATATTTAGGCATAATGATTTGATAGTCTGGACAGGGCTTAAATGAAATTAGGGAGATTTCGCAACCTTACGAAAACGATAACGAATACGAATACGTCATTATCATTATCGTCATTCGTGCCTAAAACATTCTTGACAATACGCTGTATGAGCTGAATGTGATCCTTGATTCATGCAAAAGGCATGAATCGTCTACCTTGTGACAGATACGCTACTGTAGGCTAAGGGTTGTCTAAACATTTGATGACGTAACCGTAGTCGTTATCGTTTTTGTAATCTTGCGAAAACTCCCTACTATTTAAGGACACACAGTTTACAAATTTTTGAATTATTTATTTCAACGCTGTTTTGTACGTACTAATCCTACACTTGATTATCAAATTGTTTTCATTTAAAATTCGTAGGTCGATCAGAATCTTTAATTATATTTTTGATATCCCTATATGGTGTTAACTTACATGTATCGTAGTAAATGTTCAACCAACTGCACAACAGCAACGCCCTCAGACGGTGAGTGTTCATAATTCAATCCACAGGAACCATCTTCACCCACAATAAACTGTCACAAATAAAACGCTTTATTATTTCATAATACCAGACAATTATCAGTGTTTTCACGTTAAATACATGTTGATGTAATAGGAAAATTAGATCTAACTTCATTCTTGTCATTAAGAAAACTCCTTGGTCTGCCTTGGCACTTAGTACCCAGTCCCATGTTTGTTTTGAATAATGTGCCATCTTTATATGAACATTATAGAAAAACATGCTATAAGTTATGTGTAGATTGGAAAAGAGCACAAACAAGTTAGTTAAAACTGTTTATCAGTACTGTCTTAGAGAATCAGTACTCAAAATGGATGACACTTCTCATGGTTTAGTGTATATTTTTTATTTTGTTTTATGATGCTTTATTCTGTTTTCTGCATTTGTAATGTTCTTTTTGTATTTTGAATTTTATATGGCTTTTAACTGCAGAAATAAAGATTTGAAAAAATGAATGCTTCATGAGATCAATTGAAAAGATATTTACATTCGTTGATAGAAGGATTGTTTTAAAATTGACTCCGCCTCTAATAAAACAGTTAATTTTCAATAATGTAAATTTTCTTCCAATTGTGCTCACAGACCTAAATATATATAGGCCTAACTCACAGCGTCATTGTGCTGAATTTCGTATGGGCATGGTCCGTGACTACTTCAGCCGCCGTAGGCGCTTCTGGTAGCTACATGTTCACATCATTTCACAACGACAGGGGCTGAAATGAACCATAGAATCGGGGTAACCCCCTACTCCTCCGAAAGATGCAAGGGTTCTTAAAGTGCACCCAAGTCAGATGTGTACACTGGATCTCCATTCTAAGTCCTTATCCGAGAAGACTTGGTTCTATCAACAGAACCCTGGGCGAGTAGAGGCTCGAACCAGCGCCGATGTCTTACCGCTCGGTCACTCGAATCGCCACACCCTAATCCCTAACTCAGGTTAGGGTCCTCAGTTGACACTTCTCATCAAAGGGCCCTTCAATTAATCTTCCACATGGGCCTAGCTATGCCGCTGTCGATTTATTGTTTCAATTTTTGCTATTTTGCAGCATTATAGTTGGAAAATTTAAAAACAAAATCAGTTCTATTACTAATTTTTGTCATTAGGGGCCATTTTTACCACCTGTCCGTTGGGGTCATTTTTCAGGTCCATTTATTCATGAACCTGCTTTTTCAGGGGCCGTTTTCTCCGAGGCTATTTTGCCTACATTCGTCATAGAAAGTGATACAGTACTTTAAAGTAAGTATGATTAGTTTACAATGGGGCTGTATTGGGTATACAATGAATGACAGAATAGGTACCGAAAAAGTTTCACGTACTACAGAGTAGAAAGCAAAACTACGTAGATAGATGGAAAACAATACTGATAATGATGATTATGATAATGATTTTGATGATTATGAAAGTGATAATGATGAACTTCATACGAATGAAACTGACAGGAACAACGTACCTGCATAGTCTTGTCAAACCAACGATTCCCGCTATTGAGCTCACTCCCTCCTCCATGAAGCATTTGTTTAGCAAGTGGAACATCTTCTTTGTCCATTGGTTTATTAATGTCGGTGGGCGGATGATCCATGTTTTCATCAAGACATAATACAAATATACAACGTTCAATCATATCCAGTGAATCCCTATTTGTTGAGTCTAAAATATTAATAAAAATATTATTATTATGGAGTTGAAAGGGTATCAAATGCATATTATCGATAATGGTGTCGCATCCATGTACATTGAACTGTTTCTCAAGAGCAATTTGGAAATTTCGTTGTCATCATCATCAATATCATCATCATCACCACCACTACAATAGTCCATATCATTAACAATTTTACATTAACAGATGATGGAAGACGAGGTCGGACGGAAATCGATTTTATGCACCGGTATAGTTCTATGAATAATTTTTCTAGAGTTATGTGCATTTTAACTATTTATAATCATCATCATCATCATCATCATCATCATCATCATCATCATCATCATCATCATCATCATCGTCATCATCATCATTATCCTTATCATTATTTTTTCATCATCATCATCGTTGTCATCGTAGCCAGTACAATAACTTAAATATAAACACCTGGGCCTTATATTATCTATTAAAAGGGTACCAAACTTGCCTTCCATTAGTCTCATTCTAGCGTGGGCCCACTCTGTTCTACCGTCTCCTGTTACTAAACCGATAGGCGGCGTCGTCGAAGAGGATGTAGCGATGTGTACAATTCGTTTCAACTGGCTCGATAAATCCTGTTCGCTGAGCCGCTTAAAGTTTATGATGACGTCGAGAACGAAAAACTTTAAAATACAAAAAAAGATCGTAAAATGATTCGTTAAGCTGCTACCGGTATACAAACTTACATGCTTATATAGAAATGTAGAGTTAAGTAAGAAATAATATTTTTATTGCACATATTTTGCGTAGAGTACGGAACTAAACAGTGAAAAAAAAATAATTACAAGATTTAACTCACGTAAAAAATGTATTATTCAGTCTAAATTTTGTCATTTGTAAAATTTATTTTACATTGAAATACATTTGCAAGTTTTCCGCTCATAAATAAATAAACAGAAATAATAGCTAGATAACAATATCAGGCAATAAACCAGTAGCTAGACTCGTTGATCGGGGGGGGGGGGCACACACATTGTCCGGGGTGACAACTACTAAAAGGGCCACGCCCACCACTGTCCGCGTCGGTTGGATCTGAACTTGAAAATAGCACTCTTAGACATTGACAAAATTGTGTTTCCAAAGTGTCTAAATTTGAAAGTGTTTCTGACGTTCATCAAATACATCAAATAGAAGTGAATGACAAATACCAGAAAAATCTACACCCACGATAAATATCAATGATGAAAAAAATTATATGCAATGAAATTACATTTATCAGACTTAAAATATTTATTTTAAATTGTCTTAATTTGACATTTTTCCCTGGCAGCCAGTTATGCCTTTACGTAAGTTATAGGCTGCCCTCTTATACAAAACATAATAAATACTCCTTGTGTAAAAGCATCCTTAATTAGATATCACTAAGAAAAATACGGACATGGGCAAAAGAATGTTCTAAATATTGTAAAAAGTTTTTCAATTCAATCCAATTAAGTCGTAGGCGTACAGCATAACAGGAAAACACAAATCTCTTATTTTCTAATTCAGTCCATTTCTGTAATGTCAAGTAATAAACCACTTGAAATGCGTTACTATTACGGGCCATTCATTGATGCATGACCAACTTAGCTGACCACAAATAAAACTGTTATAGCGCCCTCATTAGAATATAACTTTTCATTAATACCTGGTTTCTGCAAACTACTATAATGTGTTCCGGTTCTGGCATTACACTAACAGATGGCGCCACGAGTTCATCTTTAACGATGCCTGGAACTCGATAGGAGGAGAACAAACGGTAATACTGCTCCATACATAAGGGCTGACCAGGTTTATTATGCCGCGCCCTGTCCACTGGTAAAGCCCGACTATTCAAAAGTACAAATAATTAATTGATAAAAAAAAAATAGATAGTGATCACAATAATAATGAGTACGATATCATTGATTTTAATATTGATTGGCATTATAATAAAAGTAGGCCTAGATATGAAGATAGAAAGACTTAAATTACCGGCTATTGCTTTTTGCCGCTCAACATCATTTTCGAAATTATATATGCATAAATGCCTACCGTAAAACCTCGAATAGAACCATGGGCATCTTTTCAAGATAGCATGGACTTCCTTTCGGGATAGTACAATACATTTACTGTACATGAATTTCAAAGAGGGCTTTTATTCGAGGTTTTACGGTATTTTTTGTAGCACGCATACTTTTCCTAGTATTAAGCTTAACCATATCCTGTAAGAGCATTACGGTAACTTAGTGGAGACGATCGAATACTATAGAATGGAGCATTTTAGGAATTACAATTAGTCTTTTTGTACTAGGTATCAATGATAACAATGTTATAGATGTTATTTGAAATTTAATCACAAACATCGATAGAAATAATGTTAAAAATTGTAATATGATAGTTATACATCTATAAATAACAATGTTTGAAATTGCAATTTTATACTTACGCATCAATAATAACCTTGTAATCAAGAATTCCAGAGATTAATCTCGCAGCAAACTTTAATTGTTGATTTCGATCTTCAAACTGCTGCTTAGGGAACACCATTCCAGGGTTAGAGTTTACCACTAGCGGAAGTCTCGCTCGTAGGTACATGTCATCGAGCCACCAATTATAAGCCTAAAATATCACGGAAATTACGTTGATTATCATATACGTAAGTGATCGAATAGGATGAGTTGTATCTGACCATCTAACGGTCAAACCATGGTCAAACTAATGTCACATATCGTTGACTTGTAAAGGGAACATAGGCCTAGCAATCTAAACATAATTTTTAAACAAAGTATCAGATGATGCAACTCTTAAGTCCTTTCCAGACTATCAAGTTTTGTTTGAAAAAACTGTGTTATGGCTAAATATAGTCATGATGACATCACATAATTACCATATATAGGCTTATCATGACTATATATGGGCATACAATAGTTTTTTGTCAAATAAAATTAATTTGATAGTATGGACAGAGCTTTAGTCTTGCCACTTTTATTATTGCTAATAATGTATGATATCAATTCTGGCCCTTAGGACAGTCAAATTCGAATCACCATCAAACCATAACGAGAAATACATCAACTTTTTGATGCAAGGAAGTCCATAGAATCAATACGTCATCTTACCCAGTTTGATTTGCATTTGGCATATTCACACAATTTGGTCTGCAGCTTTTGTCCACTACCACCCATCTCTCCAAATTTGGTCACGATTTCTTCTGTTGTTTTGTATTGCTCCTCTGTCAGAAGAGGTTTTGTGGATCGAAGATAGAGTTCGAGTGATTCGATGAGGGGCGGAACAGGTAAAGGTGGCAACTGTTTCTGTGTGAACACATAAAGAAAAATATTAGAACTAAAATAGACATTCGAAGGTACTGTTGCCGCAATGAACGTTTTTAAAAGAAAATGAAGGTTGTGTCGTTATTATTAGGTCCAGTGGCGGATTCAATTGTGAGGGGGAACCCGCCCTCCTAAATTTTACAAAATTAAAAAAAAATTAGGAAAACGGAAAATTATATTCAAATTTAATTGTGACAGTGCCATTTCCGGCCATCTATAGGTTCCGTAATTATAAATTTCTTTTTCTTTTCTTCTCCATCTGTAAAAAATCCCTCCTTGGGACGCCTCTATTTCGAATTTCTGCTCCACCACTGAGGTCTTAATATTAAAGCACCTTAGCTCAGTCGGCTAAACTGGTGGTAGCCAATGTGTGTGGACCGCTTGGTACCCGGTTCAATTCCCATCGCTGCAACCCTTGTGTTTCAGCTGGAGAGCTGAAATACAAGTTACGATAGCGCACCGTCTTTCGGATGAGACGTTTAAGGTGTTGGTCCCGTGTGCATTTATGGCCCATGTGCACGTTAAAGAACGCGGTACATTTTTCAGAAAAGAGTAGGGGATGTCGCCCGGTGTACTACCCAATCACCACCAGAAGGACCCCACTGGAAATAAGCCTTCTTCAGACTTTCGTTGGTTATTTTTTGTGTTTACACCAAATAAATCCATTCATCCATCCAACCTATTGTTAGGCCTGCATCTTTGTTTGTCGACGGTGTCTGCCGAACATTAATTCTGAATAGGCTTACTTCTAAATATTTATATCATTATGATCGTACATGTTTTACCTTCACGGAAAATGGATACGAAACCAGTTCTTCATGGAGGCACGATGAGGAAGAGACATTTATATAAGCAGATATCACCAGCTTGTTTTTATGTTTGTTTTGGTTGCGGTCGGAAGACCGATATTTTTGGTCTTTGCATAATAATTAGATTCATCGGTGAAGCCGGCTGGTCCGAGCGAAAAAATTTATTCCACTATGGATTAAGAAACGTTTCCAATACAATACAATAATGTATAATATTTCTATCGTAGTATTTTAATGTTCTTGTATTCTTAACTGAATGTTAATGCATCATTTGGATGCATGTATTATGTGTATGCTATTTTGTTTACAATAAGTATTTATGTTAGATAAGACTTTAGGGTCAGCACAGTACATTATATGACTATCTGTGGGGGGCGGCTGCCCCTACCTCTGTTTTACTACTGTACGTTGTACAATTCGTCGTTATTAAAATGACATATTATCATCATATACATGAGTGTTTGACAACGACTCTTTTATTTTGCGTAGCGTAGGCTTGCGTGTCTGTCGTGTGATGCAAAGGCTCTTTTGCAATTATGACCGCACTAGAGAATGACTACGGTACAAAGTTTAATCGTTCCCACCACCACCACCCTTTTACACCTCCAAGTGTCGGTAGAAGTCTGGCCTTTCTGGCACCCAATCTTCACATATTGTCATATATAATGTGTAATTGTTACTATTTGATTTTACGAAATATATACTGTATTCATTATTAAGTTTGATGCTTATGTATTTTTATTCCAGTGCAACTCCAAGTATAGCCTAAGAGGCTTTTTAGATAACCCTTTTTTAGTTGTAACTGGTCGAAATAGAATTGCATAATTTGTTGTAGGGTTAGCATTTTAGTTGATTTTATTTTAGTTGAGTGCTGACCCATTCGTTGTACTGTATTTCTAAACTTTACTTTTCGTCATTGATTAAATGACAATACCATGCAATACAGTGTAAGCGTTTTCCTTTTTGCGGTGTGTCTGTTTGCATAAATATTATTTTACATTTATTATATAGAATCAGATTCTTATGAGAAACAATTTCAGCGTATTTACGATGAACATATGTTATGCTGTAAGTTTTTTTTTTTTTTTTTAGTTCATTTTACACAGCCCGAAGCGATTAGTAGGATTAATATATCTACAAAATGAAGGAGGCTACATTGATGCTGTAATTGGCCTGTCATTGTTTGATTTAGTCTGTACAAATGTTGTCGATTATGATATTAAATCAAATGCGAGTGTACTACATCAAGATAAAGAGTATGCTATTCACAAGTTAAGACAAGCGTTGTTAAATGTTAAATGAGGAGACTAGAGCAAAATAGTAACGTTTGACGATTATGATTAGACTTCCAATCGGATGGTCGTGGATTCGAGACCGGACCGTTGTACTGGTCACATTGCTAGTGAGTATCTCTACTCAGGGGATAATGGGAAGAGGGTACACTCCCTCTGGCTGTGACAGTCACCCCCCGCACAAATTTAATATGTCATCTTACTGTGAATCAACACTTGGCAGACCCGTTTAGATTGGAGATGTTTGCTCCCCCCCCCACACCCCGACTTAAAAAGGATTCGTGTTTTCAAGTAGGATGAAGGAATTATAATATTTAGAAGCAACGCATAAATGAAAAAAAAAAATCCGAAGTGTTCGCACAAAACAAACCCCAAAGTATAAAACAGGGTTCCTCGAAACGCACCCTCACCCCTAAGTTAAAGTTTTCAATTGCTTGGTTAGGGTATTGTGTATAAACTATTAGTAGTATATACCCTATCACTCCATCCCCTTCGTTGGGCCTGGCGCCACCTCTGTCGTGAACAATTTTGATCGAGAACATCTATTAGATCAGACTGTTTTAAGAAAACTCTGACTTGCCAAATAACGTCACAGATAGTTTTTGAGATTCCAATTACGAGCAACGTCGGAAAGTAGTTTGACAGGATTCCATAAAAACACAATTTATCGAAGGATAGTTTAAGAGCATAAATTATGAAAAAAAATTATCGACGAAGGCCAATCAAAGAAGATCGTTAGAAGAGTGTCTGAGTGTCATAGAAATAATATTTTTTTATCCAAAAAATAGTCATATAGTAAATTTCATTTTTTATTATTAAAACAATTATGAATGAGAATTGAGAAATATTTTCTAAAATTAGATTAAATGTACAGTAAACAATTTTAATAATCAATTCTCATCAACAAGAGAATTGAATTAGTAAACTGATGATAGAACCAAGTAAAGTACAGACCTTTTAAAGAATTTTATATAGATAAAAGAGAGGAATTATATTTCAAAATATGCAGATTTATAAAAAGAAATACATATCAATAGCTGGGTCAGATTTCGTTTATTAGCAACAAAGAATCGAAACAGTAACAATACCCGAATTCTCAGAAATTTGAGCTACCAATGGTGATAGAAGGCAATCATTTCATAGGCAAGTATAAAATATTGTATATTAATACGACAAGAGGTGTTTGTCTGACCTATAATCTTGGATACTGGGTCATAGCCCATGTCAAGCCGTTATTTTACGCGTCATTTGATCGCAATCACGATACTTCTAATGACCTTCGACACATTATCAATTTTGGATATCTATAACAATTTGCTTTTTTGTACAGTATAGTTATACACTTCCTAAGTAATTGAATGCATTGACATCAACGGCCGAGTACAGTATAATGTGTCTTAATCTAAATGGAAGCGTTGATAAATTGTAAGTTTTATTAGTTGCATATGCATGGAGTTTTAATCGGAAGCTTGCATACATAGTGCTACAGAATGACGTGTTAGTTAACCATAAATAAACGCTTTTAGCTCAACGGGTAGAAATAGCCCCCTCATGGTTATGGGCTCTAATAGCTAGCGCTTGAAGGTTAGATCGATTTTAGTTTCCATCAGTGACGCAGGTGGAGAGTGATAACAATTGGAAACTTAAAGGAACTATACACAGACATCCAATTGGAAACACGACACGGCATGGGATGAATATGAATGCAAATAAACGTTTAATAAAACAATGTATAGATGATTGAAATGTATTATTATCTAATACAGAAAATTCCAACTGAATTGTGGTGATATCGATATTGTAAAACGTCAAATACTGGTGAACGCACGGCGATGACCTTCCACGTTAATTATCAATAACATGCTGAATATAAAAATAATAATTTATATATATATATTTATATATGTATATATAAATAAACGAATTGTGAGATAAAATGTCCCAGGCGGGATTCGAACCTGCGACATCTCGTTGTCAAAGCGAGCGTTATAACTATTAGACCACAGAGGCTTCATGGTTGCACAGATTCAATTAACGTCAGATACACTCTACTACACAATAGAAACAAATAAAAGCATATAACATAAATCAAGTTAGCCGTTAAAACTGTTAATTATATATAAATCATCAAAGAAAGGTAAATACAGTGTTAGAATAAAGGACATAAATACATCGTGTAGCATAACTCTCAACGAATGTTGTCCTATAGATAAATAAATAAAGAAATTGTGTAATAAAATGGCTCTAACGGAATTGGAACCTGCGACCTATCACTCAAGGCGAGCGTCATATATCCAATAGACCACAGAGGCTTCATGTTGAACAGATTCAAATAACGTAGATACACTCTCTTACACAATAGGTACGGCTGGAA